CCTTGTGGATAGCTTGGATTAAAGATTACTGCTTCAAATCTTTGGACTACTGGTATGTTGACAGAAAACCCCATTTCAGTTGGATCCTCAACAAGCTGATTAAGCTTAGAGAAGAGGCTAGGAGATTGTTCATTTCGGTTCCTATTTGGTCACAGATCAAGGGTGGCTGGATTTGGGATCATATCCATGATAGGAGGGATAAGGTTGGGTGGCATAGGCTTATTTGGTTCCCATCTCATATCCCAAAATTCTCCATTATTGCTTGGATGGTGATCCTCGATAGATTGCCAACCAAAGACAGGTTAGCAAGGTTTGGTATTGTCACTGTTAATGTCTGTGGATTGTGTGGTGATGATCAAGAATCTCGGAACCATTTGTTCCTGGAATGTTCCTTTGCACGGGTGATATGGAAAGCCATTCTGCATGCTTGTGGTCTCCAATTACAGTTGCTAACTTGTTGGGATGATGCCATGCACTGGATGATTTCGAACTTGAAGGGTAAATCCCTCCTTGTTCATATTCTAAAGCTCGCATGGACTAGTTTTGTTTATTTTCTTTGGGAAGAACGTAATTGCAAGCATTTTCGTGGTGTGATTCGTTCTGCTGATACGATTGAAAATATCATTAAAGAGTCTATTAGAATTAAATTGTATAGATGTCATATGAATAGGATGGATGATGTTAATAGGAGGTTGAGCCTAGCTTGGGGACTAATCTAGTCTGTTTATTGTTATTTGTAGCAGCTTGCTGCTTCTTTTTGGATGAATAAACTTCTATTTATCCAAAAAAAATACATAATTGAATATACTTTATATGCAGACTTTATGAATATCTGTAATGAAAGTAATCCTTGTAAATAAATTTCTGCGTAAAAATATCTGTATATAGATAGAAACGTAAGTCTCGACTAAATTTAAAAAGAGAAAATATGAAGAGAAGGATACACAGTAGTAAACGATAACAATCAAGTGAGAGTGCTGGAAATTTGGGGAAAGAGTAAAGGAGGAGGAGGAGGGAGGAGGAAAGAGAAGGTCGTTGGTGCGGGTGGTAGTGGTGGAAGGGGAGGGTTCAGGTGTGGCGGAAATTAGGGAAGCAGCGATAAGGGAACGGGAAGCCGCTGCCAAGGAAGTGGAAAGGTTGAGGCATATCGTGAGGAGACAAAGGAAAGATTTGAAGGCTAGGATGTTACAGGTTTCTAGAGAGGAAGCTGAAAGGAAAAAGGATGCTTGACGAAAGGGCCAATTACAGGGTTTTCCCCCCTTAAATTTAATGATTTTTTCACTTTGTTTTATAATTGAAAAATGCCAGCCTTAGCATTTTCCTTATTAATTTTAACTGCTCACCAGTTAAGAGTCGATTCAATTCAAATTTGTCTAATAGCTATATTTCAAGACATCAAGTTTCATTATTCTTTAGGATTTTTCTTATAATTTGTGGCACTTTAACGTCATTATGGAGGCAGAAGCTGAAATTAAGCCTTTAATGCTAACTAGATTCATTGTGTTTCTAGAGTTATGGACCATCTTGTTTGTTTATCGTGTATTATTTTGTTTGGATTTTTGAAGTCAACTATCTCTGTTATCTGTTCTTCCAAGGAACTTGCTGGTTGGATCTGACCTTTAGCTCTCCCATCAAGATGATCACATTGTTTATCTTTTTTTTAATCTTATGGATATGCTGTTTATTTTGGACTTGGGTGACCATATGCTCTATTGTCAAGCTGCATATGAGCTATTAGTTTACAATATATCAATGATTAATAGTAGGTTTATGTATTTTAATGAATTAATGAGGACTGGATGTGCATTTTGTTAATCCAAGCATTGATTCTAGACATCATTTTTGGTTATGATAAAACTCAGAATGACCCTAGCATGCTTGAAAGCTGAAGTTACTAGGTGTATTTCATTTTTTTGTCAAATCTCTTTTTCATATCTTGTGTTTTTACATTCCTTATTGTACTGTAGGCACAAACAAGTGATGTTGGAAGCTTATGATCAACAATGCGATGAGGCTGCAAAAATATTTGCAGAGTACCACAAACGTCTTCATCAATATGTAAATCAAGCGAGGGATGCTCAAAGGTCAAGTGTTGATTATTTTATTGAAATAGTCAGCAACTACAGTGGAAACAGTGAGAAGGAAGCTGTATATTCAACTGTTAAAGGAACTAAAGCAGCAGATGATGTCGTTCTTATTGAAACAACTCGGGAAAGAAATATTTGCAAGGCATGTGAAACACTTGCAGAACGCATGATTGAAAAAGTGCGAAATTCTTTTCCAGCTTATGAAGGAAATGGGATCCATCTGAGTTCTCAATCAGAAGCTACCAAATTAGGCTCTGATTTCGATGGGGAGATACCTGATGACGCTAGAACTGTTATTGTAAATTGTCTAAAAAAATCCTCCTCAATTACTTCAGCCGATTACCACACACACTTCAAGGCTTAAAATCCTGATTTCTAGAGAAATAGAGAAAGTTGACGTTAGAGCAGTGGATTTTAACTATGTAGATATTCTCATATTTGATCTGTTGGTTCTTGGAACTTTTGAAAGTAAGTTTCGTGTTAAGGGGGCTCTACCTTAGTTTTTAAACCCTTCCATTTTATGCATATATATAAGAAATTTAGTAAGATAGCTATTCTTAGAAATCAAACACACAGCCATACTGTATTCCTTTGGTATATATAGGTACAAAGTGTTAAGATGTACAATTTTTAGATGGACTGAAACTCGGAGATAGATACATGATAGCTATTTTAGATATAGGCCATGACTACAAGATAAATACATGATAAGCACAAAGATAAACACGTAAGTTAGAAATGATCAAAATGGTTCAATCTAATCAACTGATTTATCTGAATTATTTATCTTTTTCAACAATATATTGTCTAGATCTCAGTTTCTTAAAATAAAATTCTTTGAGCTTATGTTACTCTGACTCGGGTGCTGAGTTTCAGATACTATATGCCCGATACAAGTGTATATGTTGATTTTTTTCCATTAGTTAGAGGGTCCTATCTTCATACTCACATCCAAAAATGTGTTGGACACGGGCACTCAGAGAAAAATAAAGTGTCGGAATAATATTTCGAGCTCCTAGAGTATATCTTTGAAGGTTTTACATTAGGTTTTAGACTCTTCTTTGCTTGCATCATGTTATTATTATTCCTGCATCCCTTAAAACTTTTGTTTGTTTTTAACTCGTGTGGAAGGCCTTTATATATATATATATGCATATCCATTCCTTATTTCTGTTCTGTGTTTAGCTCGATGCAAATTTAGTTTAAATGAAATCAAATTCTTCATCTTATTTTATTTTTAATAAATTGCTAATTCCAATTACATGCCTCTATTTCTTCAACTTCAGGCTCTTCTACAGTCCATGGGTTCTAGTGGATCCACAGGACCTGAAGCTGTGGCTGCTGCAGAGAAAAACGCTTCCTTGTTGACTGCAAGGGCTGGTGCCAGGAATCCATCAGCAATTCCATCCATATGTTGTGTTTCAGCTGCTCTTCAATACCCTGCTGGTGAGTTTTGTTCTCCAATGGAGCAGGCTTGATTCATAGCAGCACTGGTTGTGATTTTGAGTTGACTTGTGACAGTGCTGGGGGTGTTTGATTGACTGTGGAGGTTGAATAAATTGTTAATTAACATCATTTTTGGCTTCTACCAAAACAAAAAGAATTTATTTGGTTTATTAACCAAAGAGTTCTCCTTTCAAATCACCTTCTAATACTCAGAAGTTTGATTTATTTGCTTGTTTGAGGATTTGAATGATCTTAAAGCCCATTTAAATGCCTTTTTTCTTGCTTTCAGTTATAATTGTTTCCTATCTAATGACATTGTATAGTTAGGTTTGGACGGTTCTGATGCTGGTTTGGCATCAGTGTTGGAGTTGTGAATCGGAATGAGGTAGTAAGCTGTGATAGACTGGATATTTGATTGGGGAGTATGTTTCTGGCCACACCAATGACCTTATTTGTTTTGTTTATTTTATTTATTGTGAGAAGAGAAACAAGGGAAGGGGATTGGGAATTCAACTTGTTTATATCAAAATACAAGGTCTATGCTATTCAAACAAACTATTTACCTTAAAGCACCAGTGTTAAACTTATGTGTCCGACATGTACCTACATACACTCTATTTTCCATAGTGTTGCCTTCATTCTTTAACCTCGGGATTTATCGTTGTTGTACAGCTGGACGAGTGGTGGGAGCAACCGGCATCAACCGTTGTTGATTGGGTTACAGTTGATAGACAAAATGTTGGAGCTTGGCATTCTCATGTAGAGCAACTTCTTGCATTTTATGATAAAGAAGTTTTGTGTAACTTTGGTTGCTGGGAAAGGCTCAGTTTCTACACTAAATCCCTGTACGTGTATGTAGTAGTATGGTTTGAATTTCCCAGAAGAAAAAGCTGTAAAAACATAAGCTACCTCTCTGTGTTGTAAAGAGATTTTTGCCAACTGGAGAAACGATCAATCTACTTGCAATATAGCTTGCTTTTCAGCAATGATTCATGATCATAACTAAATTTACTTCGTTACGATTTCGACAACGTAAACATCTCAATTTGTTACTCGAATTTGCTTTATTATTTAAATATTTAAAATTAATTTTAAGAACAAATTCCAATTTAAATATTACAAATTTATAAATATTGGATTAGTTGTCCCCTGTTTGCAAAAAGTAGGGTGAAATGTGAAGAACATGAACACAGCAAAAATAATTACATTCTCACGAATAATTTATGATATCTGTGGGATGCTCGTGATCAAGCAGGAACCACTCCAACTATCCAATGTTGTTGAATTTATAACATCAAATTCAATGAACCAATTCCATAATTGTAACTCTAATTCCCAACCATCAAATCTAAACCTCCATCCCCAAATCATACATTCCTTTTGATAGTCTACACTTTACAGTTTACTGGTTTCTGCATGAAAGATATAAAGAGGGTTGATAGGCTGCACTATAAAAAAGGATCCAAGTTCATGGTATTAATTCAGAACAAACAAAAAGGGAGGTATTTGAAGAGGTCTGAAAGATGAAAATCACTTGGTTTTCCTTAATATTGTTGCTAACTTTAACAATCAATAAGCTATCAGAGGCTAGACATGGACATAAGCTACATTCTGCTGTTGTTTCTGGATCAGTTCACTGTGATATTTGTTCCCAAGATTTCTCCAAAGCCCATCACTTCATTCCTGGTCAGCTGTTTTACTACTTGAGATTTTCCAGGACTTGTATTTTGATCTGTTTAGGCTGAAACTTTTTTTTGTTTGTGCAGGTGCTTCAGTTGCAGTGGAATGTAAAGACAGGGATTCAAGACCGAGTTTTCGACAAGAAGCGAAAACCGATGAGCATGGAGAATTCAAAGTTCGTTTGCCATTCTCGGTAACAAAAAATGTGAAGAAAATCAAGAGATGTTTGGTGAAAGTTTTGGGAAGCAGTGAGCCATACTGTGCGGTGGCCTCATCTGCAACTTCATCATCACTAAACCTCAAGTCATCAAACCAAGGAACCCACATTTTCTCAGCTGGGATTCTCAGTTTCAAGCCATTGAAACAACCAAAAACATGCAACGAGAATTCCAAGGAATCAAACAACAAAAGCACTATGGAATTTGGGGAACCAAACTATCCCATATTTCCACCTCCACTCCAAGACCCTACAACAGTACCACAGCCAACTCCATTGCTTCCCAATCTGCCACCTTTACCACGACTCCCTCAACTTCCCCCTCTCCTCCCACCCCTTCCATTGCTCCCTATTCCACCCATTGGAAGGAATTAGACATCTCATAATGTGATATTAATCCATCTGAAACGCAGCTTAATTTGTAAAACCAACCAAATATATCAGTCCTCTACTTTCTGTCGTATCAAATTATTATGTTGAAGTTCACTAGTTGTCATGTTGACCACTCTATTTCCCTTCCTTTATTTAAGAGTTGTAAGTTCATGTGGTTTAACATTTAATGGAAGCTTTTAATCTGATTTATGTAATTTGATTTGGATATTTCAGAATTTCATGTAATGTTTAACATATTCCTTGTTCTTATCCCCCGACAAATAATCCGACACGAACTTTCTCAACACCCGTGAACCAAACCCAAAAAACAAAACTTTAATCGACAGAATCCATTTTCTATTACTAAACAAAGCTTTAATATTTAACCGCTTTGGTGACGGGCTTCTTTTTTATGTAAATGAATTAATGATTATCGAAGTTACTGAAGGAACAACAAATTACAGTGTCATCTTCAAAATGACACCAATGTCATGGAGGTGACACGTGGGTTTATTATGTGGCTATTCCAAAAGATCTCGTGAACCAAAGGTGAAAGAAGTTTCTCATAAACACCATATCCCTTGTTCAGAGTACTTCCAGGAAGAAAAACAGAATTGAAAACTTGAAATATGTGTGGGTTTCTCTTAACACTGCTGCTCAGTTTCTTCCTTTTTAATGGCTCCTCAGAGGGTAGCCATGATTCTTCTGCTGTTGTTGTTGGAACTGTGTACTGCGACACGTGTTTCCACCAGGATTTTCCAAGGACCAACCATTTCATTTCAGGTTTTAAATTTAGTTATTAGCTTCAATTCATCTTTGTTTCTTATCAATTGATACGATTTTTTTTTTTTTTGCTCTGCAGGTGCAACTGTTGCAGTGGAATGCGAAGATAGTAAGAGTTCAAGGCCAAGGTTTCGGCAACAAGTGAAAACCAACAAGCATGGCGAGTTCAGAGTTCATTTGCCGTTTTCAGTGAGCAAACACGTGAAGAAAATCGAGGGCTGTTCGGTGAAACTGATTAAAAGCAGTGAACCGTATTGTGCGGTGGCTTCGTCGGCAGCTTCGTCTGCAATCCATCTCAAGTCAAGGAAGCGAGGAGGAGCTCGTGTTTTCTCAGCTGGGTTTTTCACCTTTAAGCCATTGAAACAACCTTTGTTGTGTAACCAGAAACCGAGTGTTGATAGCCTCAAACAACTCAGAAACAAACCGCCACCGTCATCTGTTCATCCGAACCAGCTTCTGCCGCCGCCCGTTCTTCCTCCGAACCCCTTTCTGCCTCCGCCACTGCTTCCTCCAAGCCCACTTCAGCCACCGCCATTGCTTCCTCCAAACCCACTCCAGCCGCCGCCATCTCCGCTAGTTCCAAACCCACTTCAGCCTCCTCCAGCACCAGTTACACCATCTTTGCATCCAATTCCAGGGCTACCACCATCGCCGCCGTCGTCACCTTCACCGGAATTCCCGTTTCCTCTTCCACCATTTCCTTTCACTCCTATTCCTCCTTTCCCCGGCGTTCCCCCGGCGAAATCTTCTCCTTGATCCAATAGTAGTTGACCTCCCATGTACAATTCTCCAATAACAACTTTTTAACATTCTTGTCATTCTCTTTGTTGTATTTCCCATTTCTAATAATTTGATGTTCAGTTATGTAATTTGTTTTTAACGCAAATTCCCAATAATAATCACTGCGATTCGTACTATAATAAATTTCGGATCGTCTACTTTAGGAGTTCATGATTAGATAAGATCACATTTCTTCAACACTTATCCTTTTACTTTTGTGATCACAGTAAATGGTAATAAGAAAATAGCTGAAGTTAGTTTTCCTACTCGATGCAGATTACACACCATATTTCTTCATGAACTTACTGTTGACAGTGCCGCATTTGTTTCTGATGCCAACTCTCGCACTGCAGTTTCCGCTTCTTTTTACGATCATCAGCATTATAACTTGGACCCTGAAAATGTTTGGCAACGGAAGATTATTCACAAAGAGAAATGAAGTAAATAGCTTTGTGCCTCATTCAATGATAGTTTGTAACATTTCTGAAGTGAGAAACATTAACAGGTTGTTCTGATGATCCTGGCCTTTGAGTGTTGATCTGATCGATGTTGCTATTGCCATTCATCTTGTTTTCATCGTCATGAGCTTTGTTTTTGGAATTGATTATTTGAAGAAGAATGCCTGAATCAGATCCTGCAACATTTTTTTTCTTTCAAATTTATTGTAGCCTGAACCTCTTTCTTTTTTCCCATTTTTGTTTACAAAGGAAACAAAGCTGGTACTTTTTCATAGAATTCATGAATAAATTATACAAGAACAAAGCCTAGCTTCTGGAAAATACCAAGACGAGACTCGATGGCGATTCGTGCGACCTATAATATTTGCTTATATACTCCTGTCCAGGAGTCGGACTACCTGCCCAGTCCCAAAGGCCCACCCAATATATGGGAGGATTTGAGCAAAAATATTTAACCCAAAAAATAAGCTTGGGCAATAAGTCTTTTGATTAAAATATGGGCCAAGCCTGACTCCAATATCCAAAGCTTGAGCCCAAGCCAGCCTGGCCCATTTTTTATTTTGTAACATGTTATCTTTCTTATGTTCTTTTATTTACATTATGTAATTTACTTGGTATGAAAGTTGAACATATACTATTATAATTTAATACTAACATTTACCAAGTTTTTTGTGTTTACAAAAGAAAATATACAAAATTTTTAATTATTAAATAAAAAATAATGAGCTTAAAAAATGTGGGTGCGCCTAAACAGGCTTGGTTTAGCAATTATAAATATGGAAGGGCTTGGAAAAAAATTGAAGCCCATAATTTGGGTTGGGCTGGGCTTGGATAAATATGCATGGACCCGAATCATATATACTTGATTTTGTCTTTAGTAGTTGCTAGTTGGATTTTTCATATTATCATTGTGATGTAAAATTGCCATTTAATGAGTTAGTCTCTTCTACAACAATATTTCTATTGTTAACATTTCACTTAAACTGACATTTTGGCAATGTTAAGCTTAGTGGTCATCCAACATTATTTCCTAAAGCATCCTCTAGAACTTCAATCATGTGGGAAGTGTTGGTGCTTGTTTAAGCTGTTACATATGGTTGAGTTCTATTTGTTAAATTCTTATTTATTCATCTCTGACAATTATAACTGATTTTTTTTCTTCTTCTTCTTTTCAAGTATCTGTTTCCAATTCAAACCATGATATTGTCATGGTCGGCTTTCGTGTTTTATGTGGGTAATCAATCAGTAAACCATGTACCTTCTGAGATTACCATTTTCCAAAGGGTGATTAAGCTTGATGAGGGCATGAGGTCCTGGTATGACATTCCATTTACTGTAGCTGAATCACTCCTTGCTGATGAAGAGTTCGTCATCTCTGTTGGTCCAACCTTCAGTGGCACAACCCTACCTAGAAGAGACTCACTTGAAGTTTATGGTCGAGCTAAAGATGAATTTGGTTGGAAGGAGAAAATGGACTCTGTGTTAGATATAGAAGCTTGTGTTCTTGGTGCTAATTCTGTGCTTGCAGGGAAAAAAAGAGCCGATCAATGCAGTCTGCTCCTATTCAGGAATAGGTGGTGGCTGATGGTCTGAAGCTTCTCTCCAGGATTTACTCTCTCTACAGATAAGAAGAAGAGGAACTAAAAGTTGATCTGAGCAAGCTAAAGAGCAAGCAGTTGTTGGAAGCAATATTTGAGAGTGATAGGGAACCCTTGATGCTGGCTGCTGCTTGCCATGTCCTACAGGCCGTGTTTCCTAAGAAAGATATACACTACGAGGTACTCTTCCAATGGAATGTTTATGACCTAATACTGGATTGCATGACTTAGTTTGAGTGCATCATTAGTGTCTAACAAGATTCTTTGCTCTAGATCAAGGACACCATGCGTCTTCTTGGGTGCCACTGGACTATGGCTTATTGAAGAGTTCATTGCCCATATGCGGGCTGTGTCTAAAATTGCACTTCATCATCGCTCCAATCTAGCTTCTTTCTTGGAGATAAATGGTATAGTCTTTATGCATAGTTTCTCTCCATAGTAAATGTGGCATAAGATTGTGTATTTTGTAACTAATACTGACACTGCATGTAACTGGAAAAAAAACAATTTTCTGAAGCTTGAATGTTTGCTTTTTTTCTGATAAAAATAGGAGGCCTCGTTAAAATCCCCTTCATACCCATCAAAATACGAAGATAACTTAACGGACATTGAAAAGAGGAAAAGAGTACCTCAAAATTTTATTCGTTAAATACCAAGTACATCAAGAGTTCATTACAGCCATACACAACCAAAATACAACCTCAAAAATGACCAAAAAGCTACTTACATCTCATCAAAAACCATATCCCTTGGTGTTCTTGTATGTTATGTGTGTATTTTGGTTCACAAACTGTTAATGTAGGGTTAAATTTGTTAACACTTTGTAATTTGTAAATATTCTAAGAATTTCCATATAAAGAAAATGGGTTTGTGTTTTGCATGTAGGTATTTTCCTTTGTGCTGTTTTAATATTTTCTAAACCCATTTTTATTGATGTAGGATCTGAAGTTGTGGATGGGCTTATGCAAATTCTGTGGGGAATTTTAGACTTGGAACTTCCTGACACACAAACTATGAACAATATCGTGATATCTGTTGTGGAGCTCATTTACAGTTATGTTGAATGTTTGACTTTGCATGTAAAGGACACAGGGAGGCGCTCTGTGGCACCTGCAGTTATATTATTTAAAAAGCTTCTGTTCTTCCCAAATGAGGCAGTTCAAACTTCAAGCATGTATTTTTTTAGATGAATCAAATATTTACTGACAAGATACTTCCAATGTTTGGAATATCTTATTACAAATTGCCACTTCTTATCAGTCTATTTTAAAGCTTTTAGTGTGTAACACCCCCAACCCGTACCCGACCTAGATACGAGTCTGAGGTGTCACATTGATTTCTCAAAACATTTACTTTTACAAAATACCCAAGATTCAGTTTGATATTTCTAATAAAATCATTTACTTTCTATGATATAAAACATATGGTTTTACAAAACTGATCAGAATGTATCTAATACAAATCTTTTAACTACATGCCAACTAGATTCTATATAACAAAATACATGTTATTCATTTATGTTCTGATATGACTTTCGGTAAGGAGAAACTAACATGTCTTGCTCCTCTTCCTGCTTTCCTGAACCTACGTGTGAAACACTCACACGCTAAGTCATAGACTTAGTGAGACATATAAATACATATGTAAATTATCAAATGCATGTACATATCTTGTAATACAACGTCATACTTGTATACATACTTTTTCATGTAATAATTACATACACACATGCATCTCATCATTTGTATTTTCTCATACTCTTATATGATTATCCTTTCTATCTCTTATCTCTTGTTCATATGATCTCTTATTTTCATATTCTATATCTTATAACATGTTCTTACATCATCACATAAGTCATTGATATTCATTCATATATATACATTAATATATATTCATGTACATCACATAACAAATGCCATAACCCATAACACACATTCACATTCACATATACACACATATAAAACATGTAACACATTTCTCATTACAACTCACATTTTATTGTTATCTTTTTGTTAGTCCATGCACACTACTGAGAACTTAAGGTATGTGAGTACATAGAGGTTGTGCACTATGCTGTCACCACATCTCGTATAATTCCCACTAGGGTCGCGTAGAATTTTTCCCGAAGGACCACTTAGATGTCCCGAAGGACCACATATAACACATATGTCCCGAATGACCACTATGTCCCGAAGGACCGCGTAGACCCTCGACTCTTGGCATGCCAACTATACGTATAGCTCTCATAACACATGACATAGGCATTATCTTTTACCTCATTACACATTCACATATTCAAATCACATAGTTCTTTCACATAGCTCTTTATCACATTTCATATGATCACATAGTCACGTAGTTTACTTTCACGTAACATTTTTCCATGAAATTCACATTATTCATCCTTTTCACACATGGTCACATCACATAGTTCTTTATCCCATTTCATATAGTTCACATATACCTTTTTCTCATATGCGTATAACATATTATTTCTTATCTTTTAACTTATATTACATATGCATGTAATCTTATGACTTATTATCAATATATCATAGATCATTATCATACAACACATATCTCATAACATGTAATGCAACAAGGCATATTCACATAGATCACAAACATAGAGATGCAATTACATCTAAATATATGCATAGACTCGAATTTCTCTGACTATCATATCACTACATGCTTACATCTAGGTACTCATATTAACTAATATCAGAATTAGACTTCTCGCAAGTCATAATTCCTTAACATAACTACACTCCATATCATGTACTCACCTGGTCACCAATAACCCTACCAAGCTCTTTCTCTTCCTTGCGTATCTTACTCTGATGACCTATCCAAACTTTGCTTTCGATCGATGTCTACACAATCATGTATTAATATTTATCAGTATCTAATTGATATACTATAATCTATCAATTCTTAGACTGAAAGAAAGATTTATTCTATTTCCCATTGAAG